ATTAAAGCCACTTTAAGAACAGCTGCTTGGACAAACCCAAATCCACTGATAACTACAAATGACACAAAAGAAAATATTACCCCAATGCTACTAGCCAAGAAAGCTGTTACAGTTTGAAGCATGCTTCTGCAATATCATACTGTGTAAACTGTGAATAGGCATCTGTAGATTTACAAAACTGAGATTTACAAACCTAAGCTAAGGAAACCTACTCTGATATTTTAATTTACAGTCTTGCTTACACTTCTCAGTACTATCACTCATACTTCAGAAAAGTGATTTTAGGGGTTTCACTGTATTGTGTCCTTTGGATAAACCACAATGAATTAGGAGACCACAACTAGTATGACCTCTGCCTCATCTTCCAACCCACACAATCAGGGCAAAAGAAGGGCTTTCAGGGAGATTGTACCTCAGCTGGTGGAAAGGACAGAAGTGTGTCTGAAGCAGCACTCTCCACAGAGACTCACCCATAGCTCTCATTGGCCACTTAGCCACAGGACATGCTACTGGCGAGGATCCCACACAGTGCAAGAGGCTGTTGTAGCTTTGTCAAGATCTTAACACGGTTATGGTAAGTTTTAGTTAATGCAACTAAATATAAAAAGGAGACAGTTTCAGATGACACTGTTAACCTACAGAATATGAAATAACCAATTAAAATCTATTAGGACTAGTAAGAAAATTCTATACATTGGCAGTTAACATGAAATAATGAAATCCAAGGCTCGTGTATACCTCAGCAGCGATCAAGGAAAAGAAAATGAAGAAACAAGTTCATCATAATAGAAGCAAAAACAAAAAACCTTAAATATAGTTAAATATGACATTTATGAGCATAGATGAAAAAATAAACACAAGCCTTTTTTCTCCTTAGGACAGAAGCAGCCTCAAATCAGACACTCACATCATGCTCCTGGGATAGAAATTCAGTACTGGGAGTGATTACCAATTGCAACTCCAATACATTTCCAGAACAGTTCCGGAGACTTCCTGAGCACAGTTCTAAGTTCGTCTGGAGGAGTGAGCAGGCAAGACAAGCTAAGGAAACCTAAGTGTAAGGGCCGGGGTGGGGACAGTGCCACATCAGGACACGGAGCACTGGAGACAGATGTAGCTGTATGAGGTGGCCCCACCAGGACACACAGAGGGCTTTGCTAGTCTGTTTAGAAAGGACATTTGGAGTTATGACTGAGAACAAGTGGACAGCTACTTTGCAACAAAACTAGCAGTCAAGTGAGGACAATAACAGACCTTGAAATAATGCCCTTTATTCCTAACTCCCGCATCAATGAAAAAAGAGCAGTACTAGGACAGAGTAAAGTGCAGAAAATGACAGTAAGTAGAAAAGCAGAAACAACTGCGACACGCCTGGAGAAGCAGCTAACCACCCTGGCTCTCGCGGAGGTGCAGGAAGTTGAGCAGGGCAGAAACGTCTGTGACATAGACACAGGCACTGGACAAGGCAAGTGCAACCAAGGACAGGAGGTCCAGGTGTGCCCTTGGCCATGCCCCCCAGGCTCAGGAGGGGCGTGGCCTCTGCTTGCACAAGACAGCCACTGGGCTGGCAAGGGCCGTGTGTACCCAGGAGAAGCCCCTGTCTCCAGCAGTCTGTGTTTCAAAGCAGCTTAGGTACTCTTCCTGGTGTCCTTTTAAAGGCCTCCACTGCTCCAGTGGCCCAAGCCACTGTGGTCCCCAGTGCAGGTGTCATCCAGATGGGGAGCCCTGGCTATTTCCTGACAGTCTGTCTTCGAGAACCAGCTGGTCATCACTCACTTTAGGCCAGCATGGGCCTCTCGGCTATGGGACTGGATCTGCATCAGGATCATAGGAAACCCAGTAAGTGGGGAAGGAGGAAGTCAGGAACACCAGGAAAACCCAGAGCTGCGTAAGAAAGGCCGCGTGACTATAAGGGATGCGGACAAACAATGACAGTGACTAAACAAGTTTTTCAGCCAAAGGACAGGTGAGGTACACCAAGGCCCCCAGAAATGCAGTGCACACTGGTGCCGGGGGACAGGGAGGCGCCGAGTCCTGCCAGGAAAAGAGAATGGCATGGGAATCCTCACTGAAGGCTGACCTCGGGCCTCAGGTCACAGCCAGGCCTGGGGAACTACTGTACAGCACTAACCCCACACTGATTTCCACTTGGAAACATTAAGCACACGTCTTTCTTTGATTTAAAACAAACAAACAAACAAACAAAACTTTCTTAAAAAGAACATAGCAAACTCCCAAAGTAGCAGCTCAAGGTGCCCTCTTCAGTCTTGTGGCCTGGAATGAAACAGCCGACGAGCCAAGCACAAGCCCCAGCACCGCGTCTCTGCCTCTGCCCCATCACACGCTCTTGGGATCAAGGCAAGAGCAGGGAAGAGTCCCGGAGAAGGACATGCATGATTCTGAGCGTTACAGCCATTACAAAGGGCCTTACTTATCCAAAATTAACAACTTCAGTTTTATTTTAAAAAGACTCCCATTCCAATTATAAAATTCCACTCAAGTTCACTGATGATTTAATGACACTAATTAGATTGTGTGTTCAAGAAGTCTGTCTGACAACACCCCTGCCAAACGCTGTGAACATGTGGTACAGCAAGAGAGTAAGCCATCAAAATAAAAGCCTGCTAATGCAATGATACAGTTATGTAGTTTAAGGCTTTTGTGATCCCCATTTTAATGAAAAAATAAACTATTAAAATGCAAAGTGAAATATAACACTCAGTTTTCTTTCTTGCTTCTGGAGCCTTGGCCCAGACAATGGGTCTAGAGCCAGTTTCTGGGGCCACAGGCGCCACTAGAAAGCCTAGCACCTGGGTGGGGTGAGCTGGGGGAGCCCTCCCTGGCACTGACCTGGTCAGAGCACCCCTTCCCCAAGCCCTGCTGCAAGGAGGCAGGATCAGGGAGGTGGGCACTGCACCTGGGAAACCCTGACCCGAGAGTCCTCATCTCCCTGCATCCTAGTGCTAGCCTGGATGACCCTCACAGGTGCAGGGTGTGTCTGCTTCTGAGCACCCCCTTTACAAAAGCTACCAATTCAACTGACATATAATGAGAACATAGAAACACTAGTCCTCTACTAGTCCTCTGCATCAGCAGCCTCCCCTCCAAGTTCCAGCTTGTCCTCAGTCACACATGGCTACCAGGCTCCCCTGCACAAATGCCCAAGGACAGTCCCAAGGGCAGGAAACAACAGGAACAATTCATCAGGGCAGGGCTTTGGCACTTCAGGCTCTGCTCTAGGTCTGCAGGGTAGCCCGAGTGTGCACAAACCCTGCTATGTCCTACAGCAGCCAGGACAATGGGGGGAAGAGGCCACCAGAGACCCAGCACAGCAGCCAGGCACACTGGTGTCAGGACATGTCAGGGAGAAACTAGAGAGCAGGAGAGCCCATGTTACCCCATGCTGCTGCTGAGGAAGGAGTTGTTACCAGGAGCCAAGGTATGCTTTTAGCCTGCTTCTAGGAGTCACAGAAATGTGAAGCGACAGCTCAAGGAGTAAATAAAACAGTGGCTGGGTAAGGTTTCCCTCCTCCTTTACCGAAAGACAGCACTAACCAGGGCCACCAAGTGGGCCATAGCCATAACCTGGAATGACCTGCTGACTGGTGCCTTCCAGCGGGCACACAGCAGCCTCCTGAGGCCCACTGAGAGTGCCTTGATCCCAGGACTGACAGCTGGGCTGAACGTGCTGCTGCAGCCGGGGCCCTTGAAAGGAATCAAGCCTGGCCTGTCTGAAGCACCAAGTGGCAGCTCTAGGCAAAGCCAAGGCTGTCTCATCAGCAGGTCCAGCCCCAAAGGTATCCTGTTCCAGTAGCAGAAGGCACACAGAAGCACAAAGGCCTAGGACAGACGCCCTGGGCTGCCTCTGAGGCACATATGTCCCTGGGTAGAGACTCAGAGCTGCTGCTGGGTCCATCCTCCAAGGCAGGCCAGGTTCTGACGCAGCAGCCCCAGCAGCCGCTGCTCAGCAGGCAGACAAACTCCTTGTTCAGGACCCAGCATGATGTATGAGCAGAACATGCAGCTCTCCAAATGCCAGAGCGCCCCTGGGGGCACCACCCTGTGGGAAGCACCGTATGGCTGAATACCATAGGCTCCAGCCCACACCACAGTGAGCTTGGAGACCAACCTCCAGCTGTGGCCAGCAGCCCCTTACATGAGCTGCCCTGCTGACACCAACTGCAACCTTCTGAGAGACCTTGAGTGAGGATCACCAGCCAGTTGCACCTGGACCCCAGGCCCACAGAAAGTGAAATGACACAGGGTGGCTGTCAAAGCTGCTAAGGGTCCGGGGAGCTTTGTGACACAGCAACAGAAAACTTATGAACCTGGTTTGGGTGGGGCTTCTTGCTTTGTTTAATGTGGCTACTAGAAAATTTAAAATCATCCCGCAGTTTTAATATAGCTGTATATGTTTCCACTGGACAGTGTTGCTCCACATGGTCCTCTTACAGTGAGAGCAGGTGAGGACCACTGGCTTGACTAGGGTATGACATAACTTTCCTATATGTCATTAATGTTTCCCTCAAACTTATTTTTTTAAAAAATGGGGTCAGATTAGGTATCTGTAGAGGTAAGGTTTTGGCTAAAAGCTTTTTCTTACTCTTTCTAAATAAAAGGAAAATAGTATCTTTTGCTAGTTATGAAAGGTCAGTGGGAAAAACCGAGAAAAACGAAAAGGACCCAGAAGAAAACCACAGAGCTAGAAACACCCCAGAGATGACCATAACTACAGTGGTGTTTCTTCCTGCTGGCAAGCACTCTACTCCTGCACACATTTTTAGAAGAAACCTTCCATACAATGACTTTAAAGTGCTGCTCATGACATCCTGCGTCCTCTACAACGTATGCAAGCCCCACTGGAGTTAGACATGCAGCCCGGGTCTTTGCACCAGCCTTAAGGTGAGGGCTACCTGGTCCACAGGTCCTGGTGCTCTATAGGGCAAGACTGACCCAGTGTAGGGGACCGTAGCTGCCCCAGAACAGCTGCAGGGCCTCACCTTTATGTGCTCATGCAGCTGGGCTTCATGCTGCCGGGACAGCTGCTCGTGCTGCCGCTGGAACTCGGCAATGAGGATCTGCCGCTGGATCTGCTGCTTCTGCTTCAGTGCCAGGAGCTCCTGCTGCAGCTGCTGCTCCCGGAGTGCTGGCTCAGCTACAGGCAGCGAGAACTGGTGGTCCAGGCGCAGGTCCATGGGCACTGCAGTTGGGGCCACCTGCAAGGGCAGTGCTGTGGCCACATCCACTGTGGAGAGAACACAGAAGACCTGGTCACCCCAGCAGCCAAGCAGCACCAGGACCCCTCCCACCCCCCACAACCCCCCTGACAACTGCCACAGGTGCCCACAGGCTGAAGAACATTTGAGGTCCCAGTGCGCCTGTTGGGCCTGGACCCAGCAGGTTCCAAGCGTAGGGCTAAGGGTCTCTAGTCCTCAAGCACAAGATCGCAGAAGCAGAGATCAGACAGACCATGAAACAGGCTTGTACAGATACCCCCCGCCTCCCCGCAAAGGACCCCATTACGGGCCCAAGGGCTGGCTGATGTCATGCTTATGAGTCAATAAAGAGAAAAATACAGCCAAGGCACTGGCTGGCCAAGGCAGGAGCTGCTTGTGGGCACGTGGATGGGCACTCCTCTTCTGCCCTTGCTCGCCTTCAGTGCACTGCAGAGTTGTGTGCGAGCCCCAAGAACACTGTGTGCCACAAAAGTGGTCCAGACAGTCGCTGGAGCAGAGAGCCTGTTTCCATGGCGAAATGAGTGCCCTCTTGGAAAATATGTTTACCCGACTGCAGCCAATAAAATGTGCTCCTGGCTTGTGGCACAGCGCATTTATCAAGGCTGGGCTTCAGCACTTCCGGTCTTACTCACATGCAAGCTAAGAAAGGCTACAAGCGACTCATGGGGAACATCACTGAACCATTCTCAGGCCTCACAAGTCAGTACCAAGGAGGAGAAAGGTAGGTTTCCAGTTGTGACCATCAGGTAGTAGCCACGCGTGTAAGCCTTCTCCACAGGCTGCTGGTGTGAGCAGCCGGAACTACGGGTTCTTGCTACAAGCCAGACAGCACCAGGCCCGGGCCACGCACACCATGCTGCACTTGCCAACAGGCAGCGAGGTGGACCTGATCCCTGGGTTGAGGTGAGAGGCCTGCAGGCTCTGCCCTCTGAAAGGACCCTGTGCCTACCCTGGGCATGCTTCTCCACCAGCCAGCAAGCACTCAAGCCAGGGCCAGGGGAGGTGGCAGGGGCCTTGCCCTCCAGGAGGGGCTCCAGACTAAGAGGCACAAACACAAACACTCAAGGTTAATGGCTCCTGTCTCCCCCGTTCCCAGCACTGCGCACGGATGAGGTGCCTCCCTGAGAGTGCCCACTGTGTGCCTTGGACCTGACCCAGCCCACGGCTTTCAAACCCCAGGCCCTGGAGAGCTTCAGGGCAGCTCCGGCCTCTGCCAGCTCCTTCAAAACTCAGTGCTTGCTTCACCCCGTGACCTCATAGCCCACGGGGCCCTGCAAAGAGTGCCTCCCCTCAGTCCAGAGCATTTCAGTGGCCAGTGCCCAGGCAGCAGGACCCCAGCCAGCTGGCTTCAATGCCCAAAGGGCTGGAGGCCAAGGTGTGGCCTTGCTTTCCGGAGGCAGAGAGTGACAGGCTGCTGTGGAGGAGACCAGGCTTTGGGGGCCCTGGGTCCTGACTGCAGGTGCTGCTCAGCTGCTGGGAGCTGCGTCAGTCACCTGAGTTCCCCCAGCTTTGGGGCCCACAGAGCCCAGGTGGAGGGCACTGCTGAAACATGGACAGGAGTTGCGAATTTTCCACTCTGCGGTGTCTGGAGCTATCTCTGACCTGGCCCTGCTGCCCTGCCAGGGCTTCCCTTGGGCTGAGCAGACAGAAGTCACAGAGCCAGAAGGAGCTGGAACCCAAGAGCACCTGGGTCTTAGGCCACAGGAACCAGTCAGGCCACTTCCCTGGAGGGTAAGAGGAGACCACACAGCCCAAAGGCAATGAGGAGCTTCTGGACATCTGAGAATGATACCCCAATGTATCACAGGCTTCTCCTCCTACTCAGCACTGGGTAGAAACCAGCTGGGGCTTCTCCTTTGCTTTCTCTCCAAATCTTTGGGGATGTGCAACCCCCAATGCTTAAATGGTCATTCATATCTAACTGGGTGTCACGCTTAACGTAACAGAAAGAATTGTCCACGTGCATTCAGTGGGCAAGACCTGCCCCACACTCACATGCGGGTAAAGACTGGCTTGTATGCATTTCTTCTCCGTCCTTTTTTGATCAACTTTATTATGAAATATAGCAAAATGGAGACGCTGTCAACAATGCCAGTTCTATAAAACATCAGTACAGGCATTGTTAATGACCTGCTTAATGACTGTTTGGATTTATGACCCACCGCTCAAATGTACAACCGTCTTCCTTTTGTGCAGTCCTGTACGTCTTGTTTCTAGAGCCTCAGAGTCTTTTTGTATACCATGCACCTTGCTTGTATATTGTGCTGTATAGCACATCACTGCAGTTTTATGTTCTGTTATACGTTACAGTACTGCATCTAAGAGTTATGCAAATAACAGCAGTCACCAAGTTGAAATTTCCTTGGACCATTTCTTTGTTCTGAATATTTTGAAGTATACTCTCTACAACTCTTTATTTAGCAACCAATTCATTGAACCGCACAGTTGTAGGAACGTCCCTTGGCAGCACTGTGGGAGGGCTCCTCCGCTGGTCAGCACACCAGTTATGTGCCCACGCCTGTAGCAGGAATGTCTGTACTTTCCCACATTTCCCTGATACCCTTTTAAGGAGTGAGATACTATGGTGGGCAGGGAGGAGAGCTGCCCGGTAACCCCAGCCAGGAGAAACGCAACAGGATAGCCTGGAAACTGCTCAGCACAGGCACACTAGAGGGTCGAGCGTGCCATCCTGCTGTCCCAGGTGTGACATGCCAGTCCCTGTCTATGAAAGCTTCTACCAATCCCCTCTCTGCAGCACTGCTGACTGATGGTAAGTTGCTCTCCTGCAACATGCTGGGCTGCTTGGCTACTTTCAGACCACTCAGGTTAGTCTGCCTCTGCTTTCCAGGATCACATTGCCTTTGCTCTTCTCACTTATACACACATCCATTCACTAATGGATTTTGCCTCCTGCCACTGTACCAAACGAGTCTACATTCATGGCGAGATGCTTACAAGGTCTCTCTGTCTTGTATTCTTCTTGTCTGATTAAGCAGTGATAGTTTGGCTTTTAAAAGCACAGAGAACTAATAAATAATCCCACTGCTTCACATTTTGTATGCTGTATCACTTCCTGGGCATCACGTCATTTGGCCTGAGGTGAGGGTTAAATGTGACCCATTTACAGAAATGCTACCATGACCTAAGATCTCACATAGTGGCAAGGCTACACCAAACATGCTAGGCACAAGACGACAGCCCACTGCACACACCTGCAGGCCATCCCCTTTCCACCTTTACAGAAGAGGGGAGGCCCTGTCAGAAGTGTCCAGTGCCTAGTAATGTGTTGGTCACACCTACTGCAGGTGTGGACATATGCCTGGTGTGCTGACCAGAGATACGAGCCTCCCACAGTGCTGTGGACCCTTCCAGGAGAAGAGCTAAGAGTGAGTGAGGTGTGGGGCTGAGAGCCTGCTGAGATGCGAGGAGGCCCCAGAGGACCCTCTCTGTGCCTACACCTGGCCTGCCCTTAGCTGTCTCTGTGCACCCGAATGGAAGAGCCGAAGTACACTGAGGCCACCATCAAGCTCCCTAAAGCGCTGTGTCCATGCTTACCAAGTGCCAGAAAGGGAAGTGAGCAGCGCCTTGATTTACCTTCCTGACGGCCCGCACAGAACTTCGCTTGCTGTGGGAGTTAGAAGTAGAGCCCTTCACTGCCTGCATCTCACATCCCGTAACTGGCCACTGGCTCCCCTATAAGACAGGCACCAAGAGCAGGATTCGAACCTGGACAGACAGGGAGACCCTTCCAGGCTCCTGGGCACTTGGCCTCCCATCCCCAGGACCAGCCGCAGGGCTAGGGGCCTGTGCCCACACAGAGCCTGGCCTACCCGCGCCAGCTGTGGAGACAGGAACCTTGGCCCCTACTCACTCACGTGAGCAGCACTGGCAGCTGTGTCAAAAGTGATTTATACTATTTCTGTATCCGAAGCCCTGGAAATGCCATCCTTCCCCACAGAAGCCACTGGTGCTTTGACCCAGAGCACCCCAAGGAAACAATGAAACCTTCTTTACTTAAAGAATGCAGCATCAAAACAAAAAGCCTGTATTTTCATGAATATTCGATGGTGGAATAGAAAACTGCTGTATAGGCCGTGCCTTGAGAAACATATTAATACAATCAGGCAGTGACGTCAGCAACAACACAAAGGCCACATTCAGCCTTCTGGGGAGAACTCGTCACTGGGAGCAAGCTCCCGATTAGACGGGGAGCTGAAGGCTTGCTGCTCTCTTCCCTTCAATACCCTATCACAAAGGAGGACACCGACTTCCCACTCCGTGAATTAGCTCCTCTCTTCCTGATGCCATCCCCTGCCACCATGTAGATGCAGAATAAAAGCAGCACTATTCTTCAAGAAATACGGCCAAAGTTGAGGGTCTTTTCAAGTAAAGAATGACTCATTCAAATCGAGGGAAAAATAATAGATATTTCAACTATGTAACCATCACTTCCTTCTGCTGACATTTTGCCTGTGTGAGGGTGAGGGGGGAGACTGAGGGAGGAAGGAGGGAGCACGGAAGAGGGAAGATGTTGGCAATGCAGAACTCAGGTAAAAGGGCTGGCGATATAGCTCAGGGGCACAAGCGCCTGCCTGGCAACTGCAAGGTCCTGAGTTTGATTCCCAGTACCAAAAAAAAAAAAAGAAAAAAAGAAAAACAAAAGAATTCAGGTAAAAATGCTCTCTTGTCCAGGAGTGTGCTGCCCATACTGAGGGATGCGTACATTAGAAGAACATCATGAAAGAGTGTGTTGTACCCTGTGATCATGGCAGCCCACTTGGGCCCAGCCTCTGACCTGGAAGTGCTTCCTCTGCCACTAACACTGAGGACAGGGTGCGCTGACACAGAGCAGTAAGGTGACAAAGACTTCTGAGGCAGGACAGCCCCCAGTCAGGTCTGCCTTCACCTCCTGGGACAGATGATAAGAGCTCCCTCTGGTCACAAGGGACTGTAGGAAACCAGGGCCAGCCCAGCTGGTGGGGCAGTCAAGGAGGCCTGAAGTAGATCC